GCTATATGCCCTATCTACTAACACTTCTACCTTTAGTCATGTCTACTAACATTCAAAGCTATATGCCCTGTCTATCAACACTCCTAGCTATATGCCATGTCTACCAACACTCCTAGCTATATGCCCTATCTACTAACACTCCTAGCTATATGCCCTGTCTATCAACACTCCTAGCTATATGCCCTATCTACTAACACTCCTAGCTATATGCCCTGTCTACCAACACTCCTAGCTATATAACATATCTACTAATACTCCTAGCTATATGCCCTATCTACTAACACTTCTACCTTTAGTCATGTCTACTAACATTCAAAGCTATATGCCCTGTCTACCAACACTCCTAGCTATATAACATATCTACTAATACTCCTAGCTATATGCCCTATCTACTAACACTTCTACCTTTAGTCATGTCTACTAACATTCAAAGCTATATGCCCTGTCTATCAACACTCCTGGCTATGTGCCCTGTCTATCAACACTCCTGGCTATATGCCCTATCAACTAATACTCCTAGCTATATGCCCTATCTACTAACACTTCTACCTTTAGTCATGTCTACTAACATTCAAAGCTATATGCCCTGTCTATCAACACTCCTAGCTATATGCCCTGTCTATCAACACTCCTAGCTATATGCCATGTCTACCAACACTCCTAGCTATATGCCCTATCTACTAACACTCCTGGCTATATGCCCTATCAACTAATACTCCTAGCTACATGCCCTGTCCACTAACACTCCTAGCTATATGCCCTATCTACCAACACTCCTAGCTATTTACTAACAATCCTAGCTATAAACTCTATCTACTAACATCCTTAGCTATATGCCCTATCTGCTAACACTACTAGCCATTTGCCCTGTCTATCAACATTCCTAGATATATACCCATATCTACTAACACTCCTAGCTATATGCCCTATCTACAGACACTCCTAGCTATATGTCCTGCCTACCCACATATCTAGATGTACACCCTGCCTACCAACACCCCTAGCTATATGCCCTATCTACTAACACTCCTAGCTACATGCCCTGTCCACTAACACTCCTAGCTATATGCCCTATCTACCAACACTCCTAGCTATCTACTAACAATCCTAGCTATAAACTCTATCTACTAACATCCTTAGCTATATGCCCTATCTGCTTACACTACTAGCCATTTGCCCTGTCTATCAACATTCCTAGATATATACCCATATCTACCAACACTCCTAGCTATATGCCCTATCTACAGAAACTCCTAGCTATATGCCCTGCCTACCCACGCATCTAGATGTACACCCTGCCTACCAACACTCCAAGCTGACACCCTGCCTACCAACACTCCTAGCTGTACCCCCTGCCTACCAACACTTCTACCTGTACCCCCTGCCTACCCACACTCCTAGTTGTACACCCTGTCTACCAACACTCCTAGCTGTACACCCTGTCTACCAACACTCCTAGATGTACACCCTGTCTACCAACACTCCTAGCTGTACACCCTGCCTACCAACACTTCTACCTGTACACCCTGTCTACCAACACTCCTAGCTGTACCCCCTGCCTACCAACACTCCTAGCTGTACACCCTTCCTACCAACACTTCTAGCTGTACCCCCTGCCTACCAACACTCCTACCTGTACACCCTGTCTACCCACACTTCTACCTGTACACCCTGCCTCCCAACACTCCTAGCTGTACACCCTGTCTACCAACACTTCTACCTGTACCCCTGCCTACCAACACTCCTAGCTGTACACCTTGTCTACCAACACTCCTACCTGTACACCCTGTCTACCCTCACTTCCACCTGTACACCCTGTCTACCAACACTCCTACCTGTACACCCTGCCTATCAACACTCCTAGCTGTACACCCTGTCTACCAACACTCCTAGCTGTACACCCTGCCTACCAACACTCCTAGCTGTATACCCTGTCTACCAACACTCCTAGCTGTATACCCTGCCTACCCACACATCTAGATGTACACCCTGCCTACCAACACTCCTACCTGTACACCCTGCCTACCAACACTCCTAGCTGTACCCCCTGCCTACCAACACTTCTACCTGTACACCCTGTCTACCCACACTTCCACCTGTACCCACTGCCTACCAACACTCCTAGCTGTACCCCCTGCCTACCAACACTCCTACCTGTACCCCCTGCCTACCAACACTCCTAGCTGTACACCCTGCCTACCAACACTCCTACCTGTACACCCTGTCTACCAACACTCCTAGCTGTACCCCCTGCCTACCAACACTCCTAGCTGTACACCCTGCCTACCAACACTCCTATCTGTACACCCTGTCTACCAACACTCCTAGCTGTACACCCTGCCTACCAACACTCCTACCTGTACCCCCTGCCTACCAACACTCCTACCTGTACCCCCTGCCTACCAACACTCCTAGCTGTACACCCTGCCTACCAACACTCCTACCTGTACACCCTGTCTACCAACACTCCTAGCTGTACCCCCTGCCTACCAACACTCCTAGCTGTACACCCTGCCTACCAACACTCCTACCTGTACATCCTGTCTACCAACACTCCTAGCTGTACACCCTGCCTACCAACACTCCTAGCTGTACAGACAGCCTGCCAACTCTCCATTGATAACCGGTTTCCTAGTGTATCTCATGCATTTCCTGTGTATTAGATGTGATGTTCAATCTCAATAACTCTTGATTCAAGTGCACTACGGCTATGCATTTGTCAATAACATTGATTTATCTCGTTATCAATATAGCCATCTTTCTCATATTTGATGTTGTACAGGACAGCAACCCGTCCACCCACCTATTCAAGGCTTGTTTCTATATCAGTTTTTCCCATCTAACTCCATGTTCGTTCCCCATCGAGACTTGATTCCCTCTTTCCATTTTGCTCATCTCTCAAAGTTCCGATGTTCACTGGGGACATCGTGTTGTACTTCTGTTAATTTCCCCCACTCTCGTTATCCAAGAAAGTGTTAAGTTCCTCGCCACATTCTCTTTGAATGAGCAGATTCAAACTCGTACTCGGTTCATGTTAGTTCTCTTTACCCTGAAATCAATAAATGTGTACTCAAGTTATAATTTGTCATGGGATTTATTTTCCTGTGTTTTATACATTTCCGGTTCATGGTGTTCTATGTATAGACGTAATCTCTCAGGCTGAAAATAAAATAAAATTAATTTATCTGCTTTGTGTAGCACATATTCTGACATGCCGTTATCTTCCATCTTCTAGGAATCGCAAAAATATTCTTTGAATTGTAGATACATTGAGCTTTTTGACAGGTGACGGTTTGAGTTCATTTCCTGCCAAGGGTAGCGTTACCTTGTGATAAAGACGATTATCATTGTAAAGCATCACTGCGGAAACACTTGTATTTCTACCAAAACAAATGATGTATTCTAGATGCACGTTCATGTTTTTATCTAATACCTTCATGTACGTTTCCTGAGTTGCCTTGTTTTGTTTTATTTTATTTTCTATGAAACATCAGATATCTGGTTAAACAAGCTAGAACAACTTTCAAAAAATGAAATGAACACAAGGAGTAATTTTATTGATTTCACGAAAAGTGTATTAACGTTTTTTTAAAGACAGTGTCAATTTCACGGTTAAAATTGTGAAATGCAACTTAAGTTCATTGGTTCAATTTCAGTCTGTAAATGGATATATTTGTAAAAAGTCGGTGGAAGTGATGACGGGGAAAATTGAAAATTTAATACCCTTGTTTTGAATGAAATTGAGACGTTTCGATAGATTTGTTAGTGATAACCCACCAGCGTTCATTGCGAGTTCACAGTCAAAGTTCGCTCACAACGAAAAACGAAACTATTTGTACTCACTGGAGATAACGCAATGCATATAAGTCAAATTAACAAAATAATTGCAACTGCAGCTTATTTTTTAATTTTCAGAGATCTCGTGCAGCGATAGCGTCTTCAATTTCCCCGTGAATTCATTATGCTTTGTTTTGACATAAGCCCGTTACTACTTTCGCTGTTCACAAAACGCGGTATATATATATATATATTAAAAACAATTGCAGGTTATTTATCGCATGGTGTCGAAATGGAGCGATGACAGATACATTTTCACAAATGTTGTAATGCATACTTGCCTAAATTCGAAAATTATACGACCGATCCCGTATCGAGGAGATATTATACACCCAGCCCTATGTAAATTCATACTGAAGAGAAATGCCTTAATGTATCCGTGTACAGATTGCCTAGCCTCTGGCGTTGCTCACTATTCCACACAGCCAGATGATCGCATGCATTTTTAAGTCTTTGTGTTGGCTATGCCGCGAAGTATAGAATCACATTTGAAAGATACCGGAGATTTAGGGTTAAACGCTTTGCCCAAAATCAGAGGAAAAAAACAAATTTTGCGGACTAAGACTTTCTGTGAGAGAAGCCGACTGTCACAACAAGAGATGGCATGGCTTCGGCAGCTGGCATGAGATCCTAAATCAAATAAACTCAATTTTACAGAGACGCGACAAAATTAACCACGATAACTCTTTTTCTTCGTATTTTTGCGTAACTTTTATATGTGTATAGTAACCACATTTAGAGACGGGTTCCCATTACGGGTTTATCATAAATTGGAGCGAAACAAAGAGCGAGTTGATATCGAGATCATATTTTTACGAGGTTAATCCACACAACTACATTGTATATGCCGCCATAAAACGAAGTTGTATATGGTCTAATGCTCTCAGCTTTGTTTTGTTGGTTTTTCGTTTATTTTCAACAACTGTCAAGTGATCTAATGACACTTTGGTGCACGTCGATTTCACATCTACACTACCACATACATCTAGACAGAAATGTATTAACAAATATGTTTTGATACTTTTCTCGTTTATAGTATTTTAAGAGTTTAAAGTTTGGTTTACTTCATTACGCATTTTAAATTTATTTTCGTGTATCTGTTTCCATGTTTCATCGCGATACTTATTTTATTTTACAACCTTGTTCTTCACTTCATGTTACAGCTGGAATAAGGCCGAAAAACGACAACAGTAAAGATGGCCTGGTGTCAGGCCTTGCGTCACCGAGCGATGTGTTCTGTTCAGTTCCTGGCAGGTTATCTTTACTTAGTTCAACTTCCAAATATAAAGTAACCGTAGCCGAAGTGCAGCGTCGATTATCGCCCCCCGAATGCCTGAATGCCTCCCTTCTCGGCGGTGTACTTAGAAGGTATGTGTTATTTAGTTTTTAGACAGTTGTGTCGGATATTTACTTAAATATTTGATATTTAATGTAAAACTGAAAATATTTTCGCGATTTGAACCTCTGCGTATACGTCAAATTACTGCTTCTTAGTTTTAAAATATATCAATGTGCCCTGTTTTAAGTATGTTATGTATGTTTGTGTTGTATTGTTTAATCAATGTTTGTTATTCGCGTGTATGCTTACTGTTACAATTGAATGGTCACGCGGTCGTAGGACAGAAACTCCTCGGAGCTAAATAATACATAATTTGGACGAGGATTGTTAAATTTAAACAAATGCGTTTGAAATTATAAACCTCTTGCATGTGAAATGAGTCTTTATTGACTTGCGTTCCGATAATATGATTTTTCTGGGTGTAAGTTGATATATGAAACGACTTGTCTCAATGTGAATCAGTGACGTAATGACGTTCAATGCCAATCACTTATCAGAAAGTAAGAATTATAATAGGTTGTAAGTGGAAAGTTTACCAGTGAGTTGATGTTTTGTAATTCAAACAAGGTGAATTTCTTACTTTTTTAAATACATTTATGACCCGGGAATTTTCTGAAACTCGGATAAATTATTCTCGGCTTGGCTGATTGAAATTGCAAAGGGAAAACTTGAGGTACCCGGACTTGCTATTGAATTATCGACCATTCGTATGTATTTTGCCCATTTTCGAATAAAAAATGGCCGTCTAAGTAGAGTTAGGAGAAACCGCAATGGAGAGGAATTCGCAAAGTGAAAATTTTCGAGTTTCTCCCTATTTTGATAGGACATCGCCCAGCACAAATTTGTAGTGATTTAAAATTGGCCATATATTTAACTAGCTTGTCGCGTCCACTCTTAATTTGAATTCTTGTAATTGGCGGTCATGATCGTTTGCGTAATTAATTTCACTAAAGTTCCGTCTTGGGTGTCTGCCGCACAATACAGTAAAAATCCTAAGCTGCCATATCGTTCGCCGAGGAGTTCGCCAAACCACTGACCAAGTGCTTCTTTTAACTACTTCAAAAATTCATTAGACCACCATTGGTTTATGTCATTATTCGACTAACGTTGCTGTTGTTTGATTGTGTTAGTTGTCCGTTATCAATCAACAACTACCACGATGAACCATGACAATGTTCCCGATTATACATGCCAATATTTAACGCTATGATCACCAAGTTTGTCGTTCACGTAATCATTATACCCTATTATTATATCAAATTATTTGGTTCAACGTGTCATTGATTATCTATCTTATATTTTTATCTTCAGTCATTATTTGAGTGTCATTACAACTCGGTCAACTCCAAATGCATGTCAATATACTCTTTCATACTACTGTAAATTGATATGGTCACTTGGTCGTTTGTCTGATATGCAGTACATTGACTCACTTGTATAGTTGGAGTGTCTCTAAAAAAACAGTTAGTCATTGAGTTGTCTGGCTCAACCTCTGGTGATCAGTTCAACTTATCACTTGCGTATCTGGTGAGTGGCTCTGATACACCAGTTAGTCACTGAGTTGTCTGGCTCAACTTCCGGTGAGCATTTCAACTCATCACTTGCATATTTGGTGAGTGTCTCTAAGAAACCAGTTAGTCACTGAGTTGTCTGGCTCAACTTCCGGTGAGCATTTCAACTCATCACTTGCATATTTGGTGAGTATCTCTAAGAAACCAGTTAGTTACTGAGTTGCCCGACTCAACTTCCGGTGAGCATTTCAGCTCATCACTTGCATATTTGGTGAGTGTCTCTGAGAAACCAGTTAGTCACTGAGTTGTCTGGCTCAACTTCCGGTGAGCATTTCAACTCATCACTTGCATATTTGGTGAGTGTCTCTGAGAAACCAGTTAGTCATTGAGTTGTCTGGCTCAACTTCCGGTGAGCATTTCAACTCATCACTTGCATATTTGGTGAGTGTCTCTGAGAAACCAGTTAGTCATTGAGTTGTCTGGCTCAACTTCCGGTGAGCATTTCAACTCATCACTTGCATATTTGGTGAGTGTCTCTGAGAAACCAGTTAGTCATTGAGTTGTCTGGCTCAACTTCCGGTGAGCATTTCAACTCATCACTTGCATATTTGGTGAGTGTCTCTGAGAAACCAGTTAGTCATTGAGTTGTTTGGCTCAATTTCTGGTGAGCAGCTCAATTCATCACTTGCATAGTTGGTGTGTGGCTCTGAGAAACCAGTTAGTCATCGAGTAGCCTGACTCGTCAACCTGAGTTGGTGAGATATAAGCTAGTCATTGATTTGACCTCACCATCTACTAATTACATACGTTTTGAGTTCTTCCATCAAGTTCGATTTACATCAGATAGTGAAGAACCATAGTGAACCATCGTGTCAGACTAGATAAGACATCAGTAAAACGAATGCATGCACGAGTCTTAATAGAAACAAAATGATGATGACATGATGAGGTGAATAAAGTGACCAGTATTAGTGTTGATATGAGCCTGGTCAATGTGACCAGTGTTGTTATCAATTCAACTAAAGAGGCAAATTAACCTCATAATGGATCTGGTTAAACTGGTGGCCAATAAATTTCAAGGCCAATCAGGCCAAATTGCCAAATCTGGGAAAATGTGCATTAAATGTAATTTGATACATGACTGTACATGGTTATGTGTTAGAGAATGAGTAAGAGCGAGAGGGGTCGTAAGGTTTAGCTTCCGAACTATCCATCTTAAAAATATGTGAGGTCCGGCGTCAGGATAGATCGAGGACGGATGTGGCGACTTTGCTAAGATCAGCTTAATGGGAGATTAGAGGCATTTAGACACCATTGATAGAAGACGGGAAGATTCGGGCTAGCTAGATACGATAAGGGTGTTTGGGGTAGATCGGTGGGTCATCGTGAGTGCTTCTTTCATAAGTGATACATTCTCGTAGACTTTTTTTTCATTCAACTTTGCGGGTAGAGATTAAAGTGTTCTTCTTTGTTCGGGTCTTTTTAACTATGGCGTAAGTAACTCTTGAAGCTTATTTATTGAATTTCTGTGGGACTTTACAAAACGTTATGCCCAATTTGCTAGCAATGGAAGTAGTGTTGCAGATTTGAGTGGAAATAATAGCTATCGAGCGTGGTCACCTCCGATACATTCAGACCGGCAGGACACCAAAGAAGCATGTCTTCTCCTCATTTCAAATCGGCTCTCCTCCATCTCTTCCGGACCACTAATTCCACTGAATTCCACTGAAAAGCGACTTTAAAATCGCCAGCATCTGCATAGTGTGGTTTTCAAAAGACACATTGAAATCTAACAATTGGAAAAAACTCACGGCCCAATGGCTGCCTCCCCTTCAAGGTAACAGTGGCGAATTTGGATTTTTGGTCGATGGTCTTTGTTGCAGCGGAAACTCGCCTTCAGTGGCGTTAGCAATTAAATGTACCGTTTATATTCGTTAGTATTATTTACTAATTTTCGTCAACAAAATTGTACCCAAGAGCAGAGAATTACTAGTATTTGATTGTGATTTAGGATCCCAACAATTTCATTTTATTTTGTTATTATTTAATCACAAATTGTGAATCCGAATATAAAATGCAATGTTAATGCAATAGTTGGGTGTCAGTGAAAACAAGTACATATTACAACGTATATACCAATGATAATCGTGTATATAATAAATGAAATAAGTAATTATACAAATACTTTGATTTGATTTAACTCGATTAGCATTGAATGAAGGGCAAAACAATAGTAAATGCGCACTTCCGATATTTTTTGTTGGCGTTTCAAGTTATGGAGACATGGTAAATTAAATCAAGTGTATTTTGTCTAATTTTATTCAATGTTTGCAATGTATGGAATGAAATGCGAGTAACCATACGACCATCACGGCATATGTGTAGTCACACTATCAGGATGGGTCGTTCAAACTTTAAAATGACGAGAGTGCATCCACGTAAAAAGTACAGCACGGCCGGCAGATATCGGGTTTCTTGACAACATCGGGACAGTTGTCATTTAATCAGGCTCCGTAGAGCTTCGTATTGTCAACTTAGCTGACTGAGCTCGCTCGTGTGTCTAAACAATGCCTGTATGGTATCGCACTGCCGGGCACTGCTCGTATATCATGACAATGTCGGGTCAGGCATCCGTGGAACTGGCAAAGTTCGCCAATCTCTGCCATGTCAGGGCGACGCCCAAGACTATGAACACCGGCTTTACCACCATTTTTCATGCAGAGTTTTCATGCAGCATTTGATGAGAAATTCGATTTTTTAATGGGGCCACCAAGGTGTTAACCTCATTATAAATCCTGTCGAGAAAATTCAGATAAACTTGTAAGCAGTTTCGGAATCCCCGTTGAACGGGAAGTGGTAAGAGGTGACCCGTATGGTAACACCAGGGTACTGCATGTATACGAACCACTAGCAACTGGAGTAGAATAAAAAGACAACACTACATCTTAAACCCCCCATCAGGAAAATTCTCTAATGTAATCGGACGAACTAAGATTTATATTTGTATTTCTACAGTCTCGTGGTGATTCGGTCGCAGGGATCTTAGAAATCTGATTTAATAATTTAAGTTTATTCTAAATAGATGTAATACACATGACGTCATCGAGTTTGTGCGTAGTACTTGAATCTAATATAATCCACATCAAACGTTGGAAGCGCGATCCACGTGAAGATATGAAATTAGTAGTGAAGTGGGGTAGAGAGTATCAATATGACATGTATTATAAATAAATCATTGTATTATTGTTGAGAAGGAGCCGTGGTGTAATTAACAGAATTATACTTGAAATGTATGAAATGAAAAAGAAAATATTTCTTTCACAACAGTTCAGTGGGGGCTGTTGACTCTGTCTTGGTCCGTACCGTAGCGATGGCTGCTGACTCCGTGTTGGCCCGTATCGTAGCGATGACTGACTCGGTCTTGGTCCGTACCATAGCGATGATGGCTGATTCCTCGTTGGTCTGTACCTTAGCGATGATTCGCTCACTATTGGCCCGTACCGTGGCGATGACTGACT